ACCTGGCTTTGCCAGGGGGTTGGACCAGGTGACCCGCAGATGTCCCTGCCAACCCCCAACGTTCTGTGATCCTGTGGTCAGCTGAGGTGTTCTTGTTCCTGGCAGCTGACCTGCGTTGCTCGTAGGATTGCGAGCTTTGTGGCTTTCACCTGGGAGATGATGTTCTCGCAGCGGCTCTGCAGGGTTGTGTCCGGCAAGGCGTGGCTTTGCACAGAATGGTGGTGTGACATGATTTGTTGGAAACCCCTCCAGGAATTCAACATGAGGGATGAAATTTATGCGATGAACAGTGACAGAAAGGGAAGGGCCTCCTGTCCTGGTTCATCCAAACCTTCCAGAAATGGCTGGGGGAGTTGCGCAAACTCTGTTCTCTATTTTTTCAGGTTTCCACCCAACTTAAATCTCCGAAGTCTGGAGAACTGACGTGTGTCCTCAGCGAGCGCTCCCTTGCTTGACGGTGTTGTGGTCCTGTACAAACTGTCTGGCTTTTCTCCCGGCAGGGCCGCGATTATTGTTCAGAAGAGGAGGACGTCACATAGTGCCAACCCTGCCCCCGCACCAGGAGTCCTTCTGTGTAAATAGACGACAACCCCGTCGGGACCTTTTGGAAGTCTTCTAGAGCGAGCAGCACTACATACCAGAAGAAGATCATTTCCACATTATATGCTCCATTCAGTTACCGTGTTTCTTAATGAACAGATGAGGAATATTGCTCAGAACTCGTCAGGAACTGTTTTCGTTGCTGCTAGTTAAAACTCGTTGCAACTTCTCACTTCTTTCTGTGTCCAGATACGCAGCAAATCCTTAAAGTTAATCCGAAAGACGTTATTGATTTTATTGAGGCTTCTGGCCCGTTCTCTATCCGACGAGGTAGTGTTATACCAAGCTTCCATAAGTGAACGTTCGAGCCTCTGAGAAACACCCCTAAGCTGTCTGTCCGTCCGCGCTCGGGCCGGAGTGCTTGTTAATGCTGGTGATTTCGAGCTTTGGAGGTGGGATGTTTTTGCCATGGCAGGCCTTGTTTCTCTGCTGAGGAGAAGCTGAGAAGCTGTTACTCATTACAAGCATGCTATCACTGAACCCCTGGAAGTGATGCAGGAGCAGGAATTTGTATTTTGAGAGGAGAAAGCGTTTCATTTAATAGGTATCTTAATCAAGGACTAAGCTTGCGGTATTGGCTTTGCTGAGCACGAATGAGTGTGATCACAATCATTTTGAATCTCTTTTTTTCTAAGAAAATAAACATTTTACTGTTTTTATGTATTCTTGTCTTTTACCATTCCTACAACGCCAGGTTGGAAGAGTCTGGGGAGGAGGAAGGCCAAAGCAGCCCCCCGCGTTAGTGAGCCTGGGGCTCTAAGCCCTGAAAGCAGCTGGGGTGTCTGTCGCCTGTCTTGTAGAGTAGATTTTTCCATATTATATTGGAATTACCTTCAATATCACCTTCTCAAAAGCAGATGCAATATTTTTAACAAATGCTGTCATGAGTAAAAAAAAAAAAAAAACACACAAAAAAAAAAAAAGTAAGGAAAAAAGAATGCACCTTTTGTATTTATTATTTCGAAGGAGGTTGTTGCCGGTGCCAATATTCCTTCCTGCTTTGACACCGTATGAGGGCCAGGCTTGCGCTGCGTCCCGTGGAGAGGCTTTGCCGGGACGTGGGTGTCTGTGTTGTGCTGATGTCGTTGCTGTGATGTGCGTGATCGGCATGGAGCACACCATGAGGCTGCATTGATCGCAGCTCTTGCCGATGTGGTGCGGGGCACTCGGCCCAAAGCCCTTCAGCGTTGGCCATCGTCCACGGGGCCGTCTGAAAATCAGATCCCTTCAAAGGGTTTCGTCCCTCAGAAATCACCTGTGACTTCTGGAATGCTCCGAAACACAAGGGAATTTCCTGACTAAAGAGATTCCCTCCAGGGCTCACTCTGAGCTGGGCTGGACAGGCCATGCCAGAAGATTTTTCTTCCCTGCCGTGGTGGTCCCATACGTAGAATATGTCCAAAAAAAAGCGCAATTTCCTGACGCTTCCTTCGCTGCGCTGGGTTTTCCTTTGGCTTTCAGGCAGCGGATGGGGCCGTAGGGTCAGGAGGACTCCCCCAAGGAGGGAGTCACTCTTATTTATGTGGGACTGGCTGGGAACACCTCCAGCAAGAGCAGCTCTCCAAGCAGCCCTTGCGAGGCTGCGGCATCAAGCTGTTGTCTTCTTTCTGCAACCTGTCCCCCGGTCTCCTGCCAACCTCAGGTCGAGCTGCCTGGTTGCTGTAGCGCAGGATTGGGATAACTCAAGCGCTGCCAGGCTTCAGTGGCTTTCCATATGACAGCTCAGTGACAGAGTCATATACAGCAGGTTTCACCACGTGCATCTTTGTCCTGTTGGTGGTCAAAAATTGCGAGCCAGTTTGGATTCCTAACTCCTCACTGCATTTGGGCAGCTGCTTTGGCCATGCAGCTCTTCCTGAGCCAGACGACCTTCCTGGAGATGAGGTTTCGCCACCTTACTCCTGTCACGTCGTCCTTCTTGGGGCTGTTGGCATCTCTCAGTGCAGCGGAGCCATTTGATCTCCTAGGACGACTTCAAGTTAATAACTCTGGCCTCTTGCATAGGACTTTTTCTATGATTTATGGCAGCCCTTGAGCAGGTAGCCATGCTGAGGCGAGTCAAGAGACTGCATTTCAATTATTTAAACACTTTAATTAATAGAGTCCTGGGGCTTGATCCCGCAAATCCTTCTCTCAGAAGTGCTTTATAAAGCTTTCACAGGTAGTAGGAGAGTGATGGAATCGGGGCCATCCTTCTGAAACGTGGTTCATTTTCTAGACGCTGAATGCCTCGTGTACAAATGTCCCCATACAAACCCAGTTACAGACACGGCGTGGTCCTTCAGCACACCAGCCTCCTTGTACATGGATGTTTTTTCAGCCGCCCATTAGTTTTAATATTTTTTTTTCTTTTATTCCTTGCCGATGATGGTGGCACCAAATTATAAGGCAAGAGTGAATGGGTAGATGAAGAACCAGAGATGCGTTTAAGCTCTGAAGACACTGTCGTCATCATATGAAAAGTAGACGGAAGATAAGTATCCGGTTCTCAGCTGTTTCAGTTTTATCAAGGCTGTAAAACAGCAATTACCTCTCCCTTTGGTTTTGTAGTTAGCGATGACTCAGCTCCAGATGGGCTTGGCTGACACGCTAGACCTGCAGGGTCTCAGGAATTAAAGCGTTCATGTCTTTGACATCCAGGTAAATGTTTGCTTTGAGCCTGACGATGGCACAGTCATCACCATCAGCATCATCTTTTCCATCATCATCATCAGCATCTGTGGGACTGTGAACCTGCTTGGTAGAAGCCAGCTATAACACCATCCTTACGGACAGCTGGTCCCTGCACCCATGGCAGTGTCCCGAACACCACGGAACATTTTAGGGGAGAAGTGGCATTTTTTTCCCCAAAGCCTTGCCCGCGTTATCAAAGCTGACTCTATTTATAGAGCGTGGCAGCGGGGCCAGGATGGTGCAAGGACCCCAGCGATAACGTTCACCCTAATTAGCAAAAAGTTGGCTGAGGGAAGCAGCCAGCCCCGTGGTGGGATGAGCTCCAGGCTGGAGTCTTGTGCCTCGCCTGCTGGTTGCTGCCGATGGCTGATTTAGCAAAAGGAGAAGCGGGTGATGTCTTCCCTCACGGAAGGGCTCGGTTCCTCCCTGCTGCTCGGCCATCCCTGCAGCTTTCTGTTTAAATCGGGAGACCCGAGCTTTTATTTCAGGCTTTGTTAATAGTGGCCGCCTTGCCTTAACGGGTCTGTTGGCAGGGGGGGGTGCCCCGACCGGGGGGGCGGCCCGGGGG